TTACCTCCGCATCCCTTTCCAGTGCTGCCGTTGTACTTGTGCTCGTGCCACAGTCTGGAAATGTTGATTCATCTGTCTGTCTGCTACGCTTCTGGAGGACTGGGGTGCTCAAATAGGGCTGAATAAAGTTCCGGCCGCAAGTCTGCATTGCATAGTAGCAATATTACTGACTGTGCATTGGATCCTATGAACATAAACAGGGATAAAATTGAGTCTCCAAAGGCAAAAATGCAGGAAATGATAATCTTTGTGAAAAGTAGCAGAGTAAAATGAGATTTTGATAATATGAAGAACAACCAAAAAATTTTATGACATTGACAGTTATTTTTTCTGTTAGTTTTTGCTAATGGTGTATGCTATTTGGAATATAATTAAGCAGATCTTTACTTGGTAAAATTGAGATACATACATTTTTCCACGAGATCTTTTGTTGTTCTTGTGTATATACCAGGCTGGCTAGTCATTTCTTTGCCAAATGGAGTAGATATCCATGATTCCTAATGAGTCTGAAATTGTAAAATGGCCTTGTTCTATTAGGTCACAACATTTCCTGGATCTGTGTTATTTTCCCTTATCTTCCGTGCCCATCAGAATTTAGGCCCCTAAGTCCCAGGTGCAGCTCAGTGCTTGTCCTTTTTCTGTGTGTCTGTCATGTGAGCCCCAGTCTGTCTTTCCTCTGAGCTCCACTGCTTATTCCAGTGGTGATCTACTGATACAGAGGAAGGAGATTATAGTGCTTGTTTTTCTATTTTGTAGCCTTGAAATGCAATTCTGTTTCCTCTTTTATGAAGGAAACTATCCCAGAAGGCAAAGAAATCGATGCAGGCAGTGGTTTCATCAGATTCATGCAGAAATGCATGAATAAAATTAAGTTGCCTTAGGAATTTTCTTGTGTTCTGAATGTCAGTCAGTGCCTTTAATATGACCAGTGTCTATTTACTCTAGATTTTAGTTCACTTTATTTGATAATTGGAATGCATTACTTTTAGTTTATTAAAAGAAATTTTGGGGCCAGGGTTGTGGCATAGCTGGTTAAGCCACTGCCTGCAACACTGGCATCCCATACAGGTGTCGACTTGAGTACTGGCTACTCCACTTCTGATTCAGCTCCCAGCTAATGCGCCTGGGAAAGCAGAGGAAGATGGCCCAAGTTCTTGGCCTCTGTACCCATATGGGAGACTTGAATGAATTTCCTGGCTCCTGGCTTTGGCCTGGCCCACCTGTGGCCATTGTGGCCTTATGGGGAGCTAACCAGCAGATGCAAGATCTCTCTTTCTGTAACTCTGCCTTTCAAATAAAATAAACAAATCTTTCAAAAAATCAAAATTTTACAGAGAGCATAGTGTATACTGATAGAACTATTTTACTCCATTTAAGTGTAGGAGTACCCATTTAAGAGACAAACTAACCATAGAGCTATCTGAAAACATATTTCATGTTTCTTTATGACAAAATTCATCACAATAACTATCACGCATTTCCCCTTTAATAGGAGTTAGATGTTGGACTAAACAAACTGCATGGACATGTGCACATATCTCTTTATGTAATTTTTACCTGTACACTAACAGAAGTAGAGAGATGAGAATTTTGTTCCTCAAATACAAAGCCAGTAAATGGCAGAGCCAAGATTTTTACCATGCGTTCTGGCCACAGGGACTTGGTTTTAAAGAATTTAAAGAATTTACTTGTTGGGGTCATAGTGAGTTAAGACATTGTATGCAACACCAGAATTCCATATGTGCACCTGTTTGTGTCCTGGTTGCTCCACTTCTGAATCAGCTCACTGCTAATGGCCTGGGAAAGGCAGCAGAAGATGGATCTCAAGTGGTTGGGCCCTTGCCATCAGCATGGTTCTTGGCTCCGGTCTGGTCCAGCCTTGGCTGTCAGGCCATCTTGGGAGTGAACCAGCAGATGGAAGATTTCTGTCTCTGTTTCTCCCTTTCTCTGTAACTCTTCCACATAAATGAATAAATCAGTTTTTTAAATCAAACTACTTATATATTAGTGGAAGGCTCTGTTTAAAAAAATGCTTTGACTTCTCCATCATTGTTTACAATGTGTTTACATGATTTACTTTTTTGAGGCATATTTTGAAACTTTCTTGTTCACTTTTTTGTATGTTATATATTACATTTACAGTAATTTATTAGAATTATATACTCTCTTAACAGAATATATATCTTATATTTAGTGGTTTGTAGTAATATAAACTATCAGAAAGAGTTTATCTTATTACTGTTTAAAGTATAACTTTACAGTTCTAATTTGGCTTTGACTCTCATAAAGATGCTTCATTTTTTTGGCAAGATTTATTTTATTTATTTGAAAAGCAGAGTTAGAGAGAGGGAGAGTCACAGAAAGACCTTCCATCTGCTGGTTCACTCCCCAAATGGCCACAGTGGCAGGGGCTGGGACAAAATGAAGCCAGGATCCAGGAGCTTTTTCTGGATATTCTATGTGGGTACAGGGGCTCAAGCACTTGAGCCATCCTCTGCTGCTTTCCCAGGCACAGTAGCAGGGAGCGAGATCAGAAGTGCAACAGCCAGGACTCAAACCCGTGCCCATATGGGATGCTGGCATTGCAGCCTAATTTATATATATATTTTACAGGCAGAGTGGACAGTGAGAGAGAGAGACAGAGAGAAAGGTCTTCCTTTGCCGTTGGTTCACCCTCTAATGGACGCCCCGGCTGGCACGCTGCAGCTGGCGCACCGCGCTAATCCGAAGGCAGGAGCCAGGTGCTTCTCCTGGTCTCCCATGGGGTGCAGGGCCCAAGCACTTGGGCCATCCTCCACTGCACTCCCAGGCCACAGCAGAGAGCTGGCCTGGAAGAGGGGCAACCGGAACAGAATCCGGCGCCCCGACCGGGACTAGAACCCGGTGTGCCAGTGCCGCAAGGCGGAGGATTAGCCTATTGAGCCGCGGCACCAGCCCTGAATTTATATTTTTAAGAGTAGGGGGCCGGCACCGTGGTGCACTAGGTTAATCCTCTGCCTGCAGCGCCGGCATCCCATATGGGTGCTGGGTTCTAGTCCCGGTTGTTCCTCTTCTAGTCCAGCTCTCTACTGTTTGGCCAGGGAAAGCAGTGGAAGATGGCCCAGGTGCTTGGACCCCTGCACCTGCATGGGAGACTGGGAGGAAGCACCTGGCTCCTGGCTTCAGATCGGCGCAGCTCCAACCATTGTAGCCATTTGGGGAGTAAACCAATGGAAGGAACACCTTTCTGTCTGTCTGTCTCTCTCTCACTGTCTGTAACTCTACCTGTCAAATAAATAAATAAAAATCTTTTTTAAAAAAAGATTAGAAAGTAACTAGGAGCCATTAAATCAATATCATCTATAATAAGTTATAACACTTTCAGCAGGTGAAGCAAACACTTTATTGTAATGAATGTTGAGTGTCTCCTGTCCACACTGTTATGGCTTCTGGAGTGAGGGTAAGCAAGGTAGCGAGACTGGAAGTATCAGCCTTGGCACAAATGGTGTTAGGGAGGATGCTTAGAAAGGCTCTTAGAAGGAAGTTCAAGCTAGGCCAAGAGAACAGTTAACCCAAAAGTCCTTTTGAGTAGGGGATGCTGATACTGATGGGACAATGAGAGCAACGTGAAGATGAGTTGGGAAAGAAATGGGAGAGATCCAGGGAGACAGATGTTTGGTCTAATTTATCCTACTCTCATGTTTTCCCAGTTTTGGATGCTCCTGCACATGGAGCTATCCAGTGTGCATTTTTGTAACTGACTCCTTTTCCTCAGCATTGTTTGTGAGATTCAGCCATAGTTTTGCTGGTTGCAGCAACTGGTTTCTTTTTATTTCTATAAAGTATTCCATTATCCAAACAGGCAAAACCAATTCTTTACCCATTATACTGTGGATTGTCATTTGTGTTAAGAACATCGCTGCTCTGAATAATCTGTACATACAATTTTTATGCGTTTCTGATGGGTTTATATATTAGCTGTTGGACAACTGGTTTTGTAATTACTGAAATTTAGTAGACTCTGCCAACCGGTTCTTCAAAGTGTTTATCCCAGTTTGAACTCCAGCATACATATGTGTGGAAATTCCAGTCGTCCCACATTCTTATTGGCACCTGATACAGTCTCTAGTCATTCTAGGGATTTTAATCCACTTAATTCATTGTTGTTTAATTTATAAATCCCTAAAAACTAATGAGATTGAACACTTTCTCTATGTTAATTAGCCATGTAGATATCCTTTTGAAAGAAATAACTGTTCAAGTGTTTTTTCATTTCAAACTGTTTTGCAATTAGCTTCTCTGCCCTTGATTTAGTGTAGCTCTCTATTTATTCTGGAAACTATTATAAATATCTTCTCCTACAAGGGCGGCATGCTTTTTCTCTGATAGTGGCATGTTTTTATAAATAGAATTTCTTTTAATGTAGTCAGAGTTTAAATATATTTTGCTTATAGTTACTGCTTTTGTTTGACCCCTCTTGAGGAATCCTTGTCATCCTAAGGTCATAACTTCTATGTGTTTGTGATAGATGGTAGAGTGAAACCTTTTCTAATTCATGCTTAATAGTTTGGTAAGCAGGAGTAGCTGCCAGAAATTAGGAAGTATGGGTAGTCACTTCAGGGAGTTCCTACGAAGAGACATTTATTTTGTAATTCTTGTCAAAAAATCATAATATGCTTTATTTATTGAGTTATTATGTTTTTATGGAGCTCTGTGCTTTGAACATTACTAAGGTGATCTTGTTAGAGGCTACGAACAGCTCTAGAAAGTGTTGTTATGACCCGTTTACAGATGAAGACACTGAGGTTGAGTGTGTGTAGTTGGTTTCCTGAATATCACAGATGATAACGGAGGAAGTCCAGTCTTTCAGATCCCCAAGCCATGCTCCAAAGCCAAATATCCTCTCAGATTCCATGGGTGCGGGGAACTTACATGGTTCTGTTCATCATTGTGAATGATTAGTAGTATTTTTAAACTGGCCAAAATGGAGGTGCATTAAGAAAATCAATTCTCTATTACAGATAAAGGAAGACCTAGGTCTAAAAAAATATCAGAAAGTGGAAGAGGGAAACGATATTCATACAAATTACCTCAAGAATACAACATAGAGACTGTAGTGGTTGCAGACCCAGCAATGGTTTCCTATCATGGAGCAGATGCAGCCAGGAGATTCATTCTAACCATCTTAAATATGGTAGGCAAACTTTAAAGTGCGCTTGGAATTTTTTCAAGAAAACTCTAAGGAAGAAATGTGTGAGTATTTATAATGAAGTTCTTTAAAAATCTAACTCATCCCTCTTCCTTTCCTTTATTGACATCAGTTAAAATACTGATTTGGTATTTTAGGTATACTAAATTGATCCTTTTCAGAAGCGTCAAAGTCATAATTAGTGTTTCTAGTAGAAAACACCTTTATTGTTAATTTTGATGGGGCAGATCTCCTTCTCTGTTGTTATTTCTTTTTCTGTGCCCTCTTTCCTTCTCTTTTTTAAAAGATGTTGAAATTAGCAGAATGTTTTTTTTGTTGTTTTTTTTTTTTTTTTTTTTTGATAGGCAGAGTGGACAGTGAGAGAGAGAGACAGAGAGAGAAAGGTCTTCCTTTGCCGTTGGTTCACCCTCCAATGGCCGCCGCTGCAGCCGGCGCACCGCACTGATCCGATGGCAGGAGCCAGGATCCAGGTGCTTTTCCTGGTCTCCCATGGGGTGCAGGGCCCAAGCACCTGGGCCATCCTCCACTGCACTCCCTGGCCATAGCAGAGAGCTGGCCTGGAAGAGGGGCAACCGGGACAGAATCCGGCGCCCCGACCGGGACTAGAACCCGGTGTGCCGGCGCCGCAAGGTGGAGGATTAGCCTATTGAGCCACGGCGCCGGCTAGAAATGTTTTGACATTTGTTTATGTGCATGGCCCCATCAAAAGCATTTCAGATTAATTGTGAGGTAGTGTAACAATGGATGTTGATAAGCCACTGCACTCTTACATGGGTATGTAAGATTTAATTTCACATATGATTCTAGCCAATGAGTAAGCCTAATGGCTAGTAGTGAACACGTTAGCTGACTTGAGTGGACAGTTTCTGGTCTGCAGACCTCTAGTTAGTGTCTATCATTTAGAAATATAAGAAAAACAAATACGTTTTGGACCTACTTGCGTGCTGTGTCTAGTAAGCCTTCACGAAGGAGTAGGCGATTGCAGCAAAGAGTGGTTCTGTGATAAATAAAAATAAAAAACCAAAGGCAAATGTCCACTCATAATTCCAGTTATCGTAGAAGGCAAGGTAAGAATCACTTACTCGGGGCTCAGTGTGTTTGACTCTTTTTACTGTTCTGACCGTGGTTTGGCAGTTGTTCCGGTGGGCAGAGTTTTCACACGCTCGGCCCTTCTGTCCTTATTCAGCTCCCTCCTGAATACCCCCATTGGTGCTTGGCACCGGGGAGAGTAGGACAGCCACCGACTTCACCCCCTTCCAAGCGGCAGTCTCTGAGATCAAGGGTTTGCTACACTAGTTACCTGTTTTTAATACAAATTAAATACTTAGTAACTTTTAATAATAAAGGTAAATAAACTACCTTGCTTTCCAGCTTTATTTTTAATAAGGTTTTTCAGCTAAATTGAGACTTCTCCCATGTTTGAACATAAAAACAGAAATGAAAGTGTTTTCAGTGTTACTTCAAGATCTTTATTTTTTTGTCTGTTTTTAGGTTTTTAACCTTTTCCAGCACAAGAGCCTTGGTGTGCAGGTCAATTTTCGTGTGATAAGGCTTATTCTGCTCCATGAAACTCCAGTAAGAAAGTCTTGAACTTTTTACTCAATTAAGTGGGTGAGAAACTGTGTTGGGAAACTTCTTAGTCAGGGGAATGCTAGGGATCTACTTTTATTGACTTAAAATCCAGAAATACCCACTGAGTCACTTACGGTATATATAAAACTGGCCTTTAGTTTCGGTTAATACCTCAATTTTATTCAAAAAAATGGAATGTTCTCAGTTTCCAGGGATCCTGACAACAAACCTTAACTTTCCAAAATGTAATTTTAAGAAGTCATCTTAAGTGACAGTTTTATTCTCTTACTTAAACATGCGATTTTAAAACTTTTCCTTATCTGTAAGTCATTGTAAATGCAGAATATTCTGTGGCATCATTCTGGCATGCCACTTAACTGGCGGTTTAGAAAACCTTTGTTCTTAAGTTGTCAAAAATAATGAGTTATTTAAATCTAAGAGTTCCACATTCTTAATGTTTCATTGCACCTCTTTCCTTTTTCAGAGTATCATTAAGCAGATTTTGTAATTATTGCACCTTTACAAAGTGTTAAGATTTTTAGCTTAGGCTAAATTAATCCTGAATGTCTTCCAGGTTCTAATTAATGTTATGGTCAGTAGTCTGCTTTAGTAATTCAAGAAATTCCCTTAGTTGGTAGTCCTTTTGTATACCAAAGAACAATTTGCCTTGAAGTGAAATATCTCCTTTTGCAGGCAGATCTCTATATTGGACACCATGGAGAGAAAATGCTAGAAAGCTTTTGTAAGTGGCAACATGAAGAATTTGGCAAGAAGAATGATATACGGTTGGAGATGTCAACAAGCTGGGGAGAAGACATGGCTTCAGTGGATGCCGCTGTTCTTATAACAAGGTAAAGTTTCCAAAGCCAATTAAGTAGCATTCCTCATTCAGTGGCTGTGCTGTTAATCCCATTAATCCCTTAATATAATGCTTTTATTCCAGATTTAGTGTTCCAAAAAATCTTTGGCAAAATGATTTTAATCAAGTCCCTCAATTTAGAACAACTGATTTGTGAACAGCCAAACGATGGCATACTGAAAAATCATTCTGTTACTTAATTCCCAAAAAAATCATTCTTGATTTTTGGTGTCAAAATATAGTTACTGATGTTGATAAGTTAAAACTATGGTGAATGTTCGTTCGTTCTTTCTTTCTTCCTTTTTTTTTTTTTTTTTTTTTGACTTATTTAGTTGAAAGAGTTAGAGAGGCAGAGAGAGAGAGAGAGAGGTCTTCCATCTGCTGGTTCACTCCCCATATGGCTGCAGAGGCTGGAGCTAAGCCCATCTGAAGCCAGGAGCCAGGAACATCTCCCTGGTCTCACACGTGGGTGCAGGGGCCCAAAGACTTGGGCCATCTTCTGCTGTTCTCACAGATGCATTAGCAAGGTGCTGAATTGGAAGTGGAGCAGCTGGGACTCAACTGGTGCTCCTATGGGATGCTAGCATTGCAGGCTGGGGCTTTAATGTGTTGTACCACAGCCCTGGCCTCATTATGGTAAATCTTTGGTGGAGCTTCAGAGTTATTAACCTAACTGTTTTTCAGTCATTGCCATATAAAGAAACTTAAAATGTTAAATTCAATAATGGACAAACTTTCTGAGCCCATCCGAGAAAAGAGTTACAGTTAATTCTCTAGTTAATTAATTGTAAGCTGGATTGTAAGTATACTACTGACAAATATTTGTAATAGAGCAGTAAATATAACATGTAAATATAAAGTGAAATAAATACCAATAGTATACTCTACATGAGCACTTCATATTAGTAATTAATAATTACCTTATTAGTATTCCATGAATTTGGCTTATTGTAGAGCTAGCAAAAATGAATGATAATTCATTGTTCTCTAGCAGTTTGATTTTAATCGTTAAAGTTGTTGGCATTTCACATTGCAGAAAGAGCAGTAGCATACTTTAATATGATACTTTGAAATGAGTCTGTTTAAGGAATAGCAATTCCCTATTAGTGAGGTATATCAAAACAATCGTAATTATAAAAAATACATAAAGATGAAAAAAAGGCTTCATGCAAGAATACAACTGGACTTCCACTTCCAGCCATGTAGCTGAAACTGATACAGGATTTCCACAATGAACAGCCATAAAACCGGAAACTATTTATGAGGCAATTGCTTTCCATCATTGGAGAATAAGCTGTACCAGACTGCAATCGTTGAAAGGATGAAAATTTATTGGGCAGCCCCACAGGAGGCCCAGTGTTGTGGCTGGAGACAATTTTTTGATTAGTACAGCAAGGAGAAATTTAGGTAGAGCACAGTGGTCCTACTGAGGGCACAAGAAGCTAGTTTTCGGTGCGTGGAAAGGTGCCAAGGAGTGCATGCACAGATTATCCGTGAGAACTTGGCAAGCATAGTTCTGAATGTATTCTGTTAGAAAATGCCCCAAATCTACCAGAGTATTCCCGCTAGAGCTCAGATTTTTAAAAGATGCTAGGAACTGAGCCAGTTCAGGCCACAGGAGTAGAGCAACCTTGTGATTCCTTGTCATCACTGCTAGTATTTACTTGTGGAAACAGAGAGGCCTTGCTTTCCTGGTAAAGGCTGTGATGTGAAAGCCTGCTTTCGAACTGTCCCTTCTAAAGTTTGAAACTATGCAAAGGCAGGACCTTAGGGGTGGCTGAGTTTAGATGTTGAATCCCACAGATTTGCAGAGGTTGTAATGCATCCTAGGCTTTTGATATTCTCCTGACTGAAAGATAGAGTCAAACTTAGCCACGTTCGGAGTGATGAACTACCTCCTTCAACTCTTAAGAGGAGGTACTCTAAAAAAGGTAATAGGATCCTAAGTATCTATGATATATTATCCACAGTGTCTAAAACATAATAAAAACTGGTTGAAGAAACATGAAAATGTGACCCACGGTCAAGGAAAAGTAATCCGCAGAAGCAGATCCATAAGGTGGCCTGGATGTTGGTAAAGCAGATTAATGTCATCGTAATTGGTGTCTCATAAGAGAATGAGAGTGGGTGAGAAAAGTGACTTGAATCATAACAAAGGAAAATCCCCCAAATGGGATGATAACCAACAAAGGTAGGCCTAGGCAGATTGTAGGAAAGCTGCTGAAAACCAAAGCTAAAGTAATTCCAGGTGCCACGGAGGAAGTCAGAGTGGTAGAGATGAGCGTAAGGGAGGCAGAAGGTGGAAGATGTGCCCTGGGGACTGTGCAGGGTTCCTTGATATTCAGGTTGGGTCTCCAAAGGGCACATGGATGGCACAGCAGCCTGAACAGCACAGAAGCGAGAAATAAGGGGAGCCTTGAGCCTGCTAGAGGAGTGCTGTCTGCCTGGGCTCAGGTCCTGCCGGGGGAAGGGCGGACAAGTAAAGGCCTTGACTTTCAGCCAGGGGCAGGGGCTGGGCAGGGGTTCATGCCTTGGCCATTTACTGGGGAATGGATGTTTATCTTGTATTCATACAATAGAATACTCATTAAACTGCTAGTAAAAGCAAGAGCATGAGTGAGTGTCAAAGATATTAACTATGCCAAGTGAAAAAGCCAAATTAAAAACAGAGATTAAAAGAATGATTCCATTTATATAAAGTGTTAGAGCAGACAAAATTCATCTGTGGTGTCAAAGATTACCTGTTTTGAGTGGACAAAATGAAAACAGGCAGAAAGAAACCTTCTGTGGAAATGAAAGTATTCTGTACATTGTTTTGAATACCTGAGTTTCTACATTTGTCAGAATTCATCAAGCTGTTCCCTTAAATTGTATGCACTTTTTTTTTTGTAGATTTTACCACTTTAAAGTGTTTGAAAAATAATATGGTTAAATTGCAGTTGGTAGAAGGATAGGAAGAAGTCCTATGTGGATGAAGCAGAGAACCATTGGGATATAGTTTGAGGTGACTGTGGAGAGTTAAACAAGGCTCCAGATTATGCAGACCATATTTGCCATAATGGAGATTTCTTCTTCATCTAAGAGCAAGGAGAAGCCGCTCTTATCTCCTTAAGCAAGACAGTAACATTATTATATTTCTGTTAAGATGGTGTAATTCTGGCTATAGTGTAAAAACGGAACACAGTTGATGTCCATCAGCCATTTAGAAGGTTATTGCAGTTGCCCATGTGAAAGAAGCATAGGCTTAGTTGTTGATGAAGAAAAGAGGTTCACAGAGAGGAAACACTGACAAAATTTGATGATCATGCAGATATGACCTTTGTTTTTACAAATACTAGCTGATGACTTGATGCCTGTGAGTCTCGTTACGATATCAGCTGATAAAAACAGTAGTACAGTATTAAGATGTGAAAGAGTAACACTGAGCATACAATGAACATTCAGTAATTTTTCCAAATGTAAATAATTACATAAGAAAAATCCTTTGCAAGCTTTTATTCACGTAGAAGACTTACTTCAGAAAAACATTTCATTGTACCGTTATACTATAAATGTTTCTAACTGCCAGTTTTGGCAGCACTTGGTTAAAATCCACTTTCATCTTTTTATTCCATCCTGCATTCTTTTTGACACATTTGAAAATCAACTATTTTTGCTGAAGGTTTTCTCTAAAGATTGAGACGATATTTAGGGAGTTCAAGTTTAATATGTTAAATATTTATTAATAGTAATTTATAAACCTATTATAGCTAATTTAAATGAGAAAGCAATGTATAAACTTCCTGACACTGGAAATTGTGAGACAAATACTACTTCTGTTTTATTCTGTCAGCTCTCTACAGCTTGTACAAGCGTATTTAATACTTTATGTTTTTCACTTGGTTAGCTTTCTTTGCACTGGGATTTTTGCTTTAAGTTCACTGAAGAGTTCAGTAAAATATTGAAACTTGAAATATTTTATTTGTTTGAAAGAATGTAGTCCACCTTGTATGCCAGAGCTATTGGATTTTTACTAAGTAATTCATACTGGACTAACTTGCCTCCCAAATTCTATTAGTCTGTTGGGTCTGATAGTTACCAAATAATGCAAAAGGAAGAAGATATATTTAACTGTATTAAATAGTCAAATATACTAAGTTTAAAAGCAAAATATAGGGAGTGAGCATTTAGCCTAGCAGTTAAGACACCCTTCTCACACACCAAGACCCTGCTCCCGACTCTAGCTTCCTGAGAGCAGAGTTAACAGCTCACATAATTAGGTTTCTACCCACTCACATGGGAGACCTGGATTGTGTTCCAGACTCCTGGATTCATTCCCAGCACAGCCTTGGCCATATGTGGGTATTTCTGAGCAGTGAACCAGTGGATAAGAAATCTTTCTTTCTCTTCATATATATATTTATAAATGAATATATATATATTTATATGTATATAAATGTATACACACATATATTTAATATTATATGTATACTTGTCTCTTTTCCTGTCTGCCTCTCAAATAAATAAATTCTTTTTTTTTAATTTTTTTTTTTTGTTTGTTTTACAGTCAGAGTTACAGAGAGAGCTAGAGACAGAGAGAGAGGTCCTCCATCCGTTGGTTCACTCCCCAGATGGCCGCAAAGGCCGGAGTTGTGCTGATCTGAAGCCAGGAGCCAGGAGCCAGAAGCTTCTTCCAGGTCTCCCATGTGGGTGCAGGGGCCCAAGGACTTGGGCCATCCTCTGCTGCTATCCCAGGCCATAGCAGAGAGCTGGATCAGAAGAGGAGCAGCCGGGACCAGAACCGGTGCCCACATGGGATGCCAGCGCTTTAGGCCAGGGTGTTAACCTGCTGAGCCACAGTGCCGGCACAATAAATTCTTAAAATTTAAAAAAGAAAATACAAACTTGCAGATTAATTTTCTTTAGTTCAATCTGGTTATATTTTCATAGCATTAAGTAAATAGATAGGTAGAAAATGATGTGAAAATAAAATAGTTGGCAATGATTAAGATC